ACAAACAAAAAACTTTTTTAAGAGATAAATACCTTATACAATTATTAATGTCAATACTATAACAAAACATAAACTAATCAAACTGGGGCTGGTAGATAAACACTGAACATCAGCAAGATTTGAACACATGATTTCCTCGTGCCTGGCACATACTTTAACCCTCAAAATACCGATTTGTTCTGACACAGTTCACAACAAGTTCACAGTTCACAGTTCATATTGAACGATTTCATAAAAGAATACATAAGATTCATTAATATAACGACAACAAAATAACACTGCATACGCCGTGTGACTTTCCTGTAACGTTCAAAATGCTGGTTTAACTGGTTGACTAATTAATCACCTTTCTGTACACGTTGATACCACACCTTTTTACTTGCTAAGCCTTGCGAGGTTTTCAGTAATTCCCTAAGTAGGCCAGTGTGTACGTCATAAGAATGATACACTAGATCATGTAGTGGTTGGTGTGAGTGATGAGAATATAACTAAGCCTAACTAGTTCATTGAATTGTTGCATCGTGTGTACTGTTTGAAAAATCTGTATTGAACTTACTTAAGCTGAATAATAAAATATTATAATGTTTATATTTCTTTCTTTATTGTTTTAATGAAATAATTTATGAGCAACGCAAACATAAACGTATGTATATATGTTTGTATATGATAGTTACACTAAAGTTTATATCTTGGTAGTTTTGTGTCAAGGTTAAGTTGAAACAGAAGTAAAAGAATTAAGGTATACGTTTTCGGAATATTATTTAAAGTTGCCTGACAGGAAACTGTAAGGGATGATGAATCTTCAAATAGTATCTTTAAATGGTCTGCTACAGTCAGTGACGTACCTACAAAAGATAACCCCCGCATAAAAAGTACTTGGACCCCCTACATATATTTCCCTATATTTGTAGTTGATTGATATTGTTAACTTAACAGAATAGTGCAATCATCCTTTAGTTCATACAAACTAAATTGTATGTTTCTCCCCTTGTCGGCAACTCTTAAGTTTGTCAGGTCCTTCGGGAGTCAAAATGTGGATTTGTAGCTTGAAAAAAAATAATGTACACACTATTTCCAGTCTTGTTTGTTTACTGTTTTTAGAGTCCCTAGTTGTAGGCTTGAAAATATAATTTTTACATTTTGATTCAACTTGTTTCTCTACTTCTTTTCGATCCCTTTTTCCCCTTTTTAAATTAACAATTTTTACTAATCTTGTCAGTAATATAATTCAGAGAAATATAACACAATATTTCCCCTTAAGGAGACCGAAGGCCGTCTGGAGGGTTTCCCTTGTATTAATTTTTCGTACAACTATACAGTAATGTGTTGTCTGTCAGTGAGTCAGTAGATACTAAAATGGCATCACATGATGGACGCTTAACGTTGCAATTTGTTCTAACGAGACGCCAGTAAAACGTGCGCATGCCATGAATCACGAGAATAATTATGCCCCCTGTAGGCTACAACACAGCATGACACATGAATTTCAAAAGCAAGAAATAAAAATACTTGTTACACTGAATTTTGGTTTTATTTGCCCTTGAAACGAGCAACAGAAATCTGTTTTTTTTTTCTTCACACAAGTACAATTGTAAGATCGAAAAAATGTTGTTGAAGTTTGTTGAAATATGCTTCAGATATCAATATTTTGATATGACATTTCTTTTAGATGAAAACTTTTACTCAACAATAGTCCATAAAAAGTCTTTTTATGAAATTTCGGTATTCTGATAGGAGTAACTGAATTTAATTTGTATTCTTCAAAATGATAAAATGTTTTCCTTATCAAAATTTAACACTTACTTTTTTAAAGTGATAAAGTTTAGAAAATATTACCATTTACTTTCTAATGATTTTATTGTCAAAGAATGAAATTCAACTGAAATTCGCATTTATGAAGAGTATACATAAATAGTAAACTCTTTGTTTCATTTTTCATTTCTCATAGTCCTTGCGGACCGTTGAGCCAATGGCAGATCTTGCTCTGCCATCGTTTCTAAAGCTGTTTCTTACGTCAAGGATGCAACCCACTTGACAGCCTTCCCTCTTTGAAAGGGCAAACTCTTTGTAGGTTATTGAAAAAAATAAAACAAACATTCATTAAAAACATAGCACTAACTCTGAGTATTTTCTAAGAATGTTAGTCTTAACATTTTCCTTTTTGAAATCTTGTTTAAACTAAGAAAACCATTGTCATGTGTTGTTGTTTTTTTATATTTGGTACTAATTTTCCTTGCCGCTTACTTAATTGTTCCTCGGTTGGACAGCAGTAAGTCTACGGATTTACAACACTAAAATCAGAGGTTCGATTCTCCTCGGTGGACATAGCAGATAGCTCGATGTGGCTTTGCTATAAAAAACAACAACACATGTACTTATTTAATTTTCTCATACGGTTATATTTCATAACAAAAAATACAATTTAATGCTCTTAATCAATGTGTCTGTTTCGTTGTTGACCTTTAACCAATGTGTCTCCTTCATTGTTGACCTTTAACCAATGTGTTGCTTTCGTTGTTGACCTTTAACTAACAATCTGGGTTATTTCCAGGAAAAGGTAGAAACGAGATCAAGTTTTGGCGAAGTAATTTAACAATTTCCTATCAATCCAAGTTACAATGGAATATTATCATTTTTTGGCTTTTATAAAAGATATTACATCCCAAGGTTCCATACTTTAGTAGCTATTTCAGTCTTCCTTTATGAAGTCTGAAATAAGTAGATAAAGAGATCTTATCAATAATATTTAAGATCGTCGTATACAATTATCTAACTTGGCCCAAAATCCGACCGAATGAAAACAAAAATGTAATAGTCATTGATCAAAAGTTCGTCCTCATTTTGCAGTTCCTTTTTCTATATCATTAAAGAACTGTGACCTCCTTATTTTTTATTACACTTCTTAAAAATCTCATTTAAACTACACATCTGGGTCATGCTCTTGCAAAAGCAACACCTGAAAAGTAACAATCCGCCAGTTTCTATTACTTGATTTTTGTCATTGATATGTAAATATCAACCTGTTGCTTTTTCACTTTCCAAATCTTCTTCTTCTCATCTATTTTGAATTTTTTTTCTTAAAAAAAGAAACCGATTTCAGAAACTAAAATCCATCCAGTTTAGTCGCTCTTTACCTCATTAGCAAAGTATAATTCAGAAAAAAATATCAATGAAAGTATTTTCAATTAGGCGATTTTTCGTGCGTAAAGAGCTCAACGACATTTAAACATTACGTTTTTATCATTCTACACGAAAAGGTCGCAAACAACTCGGTCTACGCTTCAACATTCAGCCTGAATTTTATAGCACGGACGGGAGCTTTAAAATAAAAAAATATATAAATTCTGTCGTTTCTATTCGAAAAGTAAACCAATCTTTAACAGACTGGAGTATACTAATTTTAATTATCCCAAACTCTTGCGTTTGTTAAGTGCAATGGGCCATCTACACTGTGCCAATCGCAGGGATTGAACTCCGAAAGTTAGCGTTTAAGCCCTCAAACTTACTGCTGAGTCAGTGTGGGAGATGATATTGTTTAATAATTTCGACTTTCGTGCAAAGCTACACAATGGTTACCTGCTCTAGCCGTCCCTAATTTTGAAGTGATAGACTAGAGGGAACGAAGGCAGCTAGTCAACAGTACTCACCTCTACTCTATTCGAACACTGGTATTTGACCTTTACTCTTATAATGCACCTATGGCCCCATGACACAAAGTAACATTTTGTGGCAAAAGGTCACAAACCATGGACCCTCATATTCACAGTCCTCACACTACATTAATATTTTTAACGTAATTAAAAAAGCTTTGTTCTAGTAATACATGCAGCACAACAAGATCAGAGTGTTTTAAATAAGAGCTGGCCCATCAGTTTAAATAACTGTAGTAACACTTCTTCAGCCTTTCATATCTGGTCAGTACTCACCCGTGTGCATTGAATAACAAGTTATAATGGAGGATAAAAAGTGCACACTCTGATTTCTACGTACCCAAGATTTCTTCCTGAGCAGATCATCCAGTGAAGTACATAACACGTTTCAATGGGAGGTTATTTTAATGAACACTCTGATTTCTATATACTCTGACCAGATCATCCAGTGAAGTACATAACACGTTTCAATGGGAGGTTATTTTAATGAACACTCTGATTTCTACATACTCTGACTAGATCATCCAGTGAAGTACATAACACGTTTCAATGGGAGGTTATTTTAATGAACACTCTGATTTCTATGTACTCTGACTAGATCATCCAGTGAAGTACATAACACGTTTCAATGGGAGGTTATTTTAATGAACACTCTGATTTCTATATACTCTGACCAGATCATCCAGTAAAGTACATAACATGTTTCAATGGGAGGTTATTTTAATGAACACTCTGATTTCTATATACTCTGACCAGATCATCCAGTGAAATATATAAGACGTTTCGAGTGGACGTTATTTTAGTCCACATTCCTATTTCTATGCACCTAAGGTTTCTTCCTGACTAGATCATCCAATGAAGTACATAACACGTTTCGACTGGACGTTATTTTCACCTAGTTAACGAAGGTCATATGTTGCAATGTGTTGTGTAACATAAAGCTACAAATGGTAATGGTACTTTGATAGGAATGGCGATAACGGGCCCTGTTACGAGAAGGAATTTCTCAGGAAGATTGCTCCTGTGGTATAAACCAAAGTATTTGTAAATATAGTAGAACTGATGGATACTAACAGAGTTTCTTTTTCTTTTCTTTCATGAAGAAATACTTCAAGCCAAATTAATTCCAATGAAGCACACTTCTGTCATTTCTCCAGCTTCCATTGCTACAAGAGCAAAAGTAATTCAAATGTTGTTCCAACTTGTGAAAAGTTTTATTTTTCTAATCACCTTTACCTTCCAGTTTTCCTAGTACAGGTCGTTATTGTTCTGTAACTTTTTGACATTTTAGATACTCCCCCCTCCATTTTTCCCACCAATCAGAATAGCCAAGCACAACTCACCTTCTTCTGCTGTTTAGTATAACGGGTTTTTGATGTCTTAGTTATTGTCGTTTTTATCTACGACGTTACTCACATCCTAGCGAGAGAATCAATTAGGTATCTTCTGCGCTTGCGCACTGATCGAGATCCGTTAGAACGTACTAGTTGCACCAGCCTCGAAAGACTTGCTATTTGGACAGGTTATGAACGTGAGAACTAACTTGACTCAACTACCAGGACAGACAACAGTTAGAATTGTATATCGAAATATGAAACTTCCACTAGTACTAGCGGTGGTTTGCCAGTTGTTTATCTCAGGTAAGTATTGTCATAAATATGAATGTTCTGTCTAAAATCGATAATCACAGATTGTTAGTTTACAAAATTCATCTTTAGATGTCAGTTTTATAAAAGTCGCCATTAGTGAAACGTTACGTTGTCTTGTTACATAAGACGAAACTCCGTTGTTGTATTATTCATAAAAATCCGTTTCTTCTTATTTCACCCACGTAAGTACTTATGGCACATTAGAGTTTATGAGTACAGATGGTACTTTTTAACCAGTTTTTTGGCTGTACGAGGAAACTAGCGAGTTAATGATTACTTTTGTACTGCTGAAAAAACAACAGCAGAGGAGAATTTCATATACAGTTTACACAGTTTCTTTGTTTGTTTCGGATATTTACGTAAAGCTACATGAGGTTATAGAGGCTACTCGTTCTTAATTTAAAACTGGTAAACTATAAAAAAAAATGCAGCTAAACAACAGCACGCGGACTACTGTAATCGAAATTTAACCCTCACTCTTACAACACAACCACGACCCTAAAAGTGCGGAGCGCTCTTTTGCGGCAACGAAACGATAACCATGGGCCCTTAAATTCACATTTTGGCACACTAGCCACTTGGTCACGCCGGGCCCGTTTACCAGGGTAAAAATACTTTATTATTATTATTATTATGGCAGTAGACGATTGGTTAAAGTTGTTCCAAACCTGTTTTCCTAGCCATACGAACTGTCGGAGTTGGATACGTGTCATAAAGTCTTTGAAACAAAATATAACTTGTTCCTTTATATCGCTTGGCTAGAAAGAGACGCTTTGATAATTATTTTAGATCTTAATGCACGCCTGTAGAGAGTAAATATCACTTTAGTTGACGATAATATGGACTAGAAGATATAGTAGCCGAAATGGATAGTGATCTGACTGTGAGAGACATATTGTTAGCTTCTGCTGTTATTAGCGTCTTGTAGCCGTTATTAAGCAAAAGTCAGAAATGATTTATATTCTAGCTTCATTGTTAATCGAAGTACCGTTACGTGTGTTATCAAATCGTAAAATATATATATATATATATGTTCCGTTGCTTAACAGTTGATAAACATCTTTAATTTTACCAGTTTTGCAAATGTAATTATGCAAGAAATGTTCCTGTTATAAATGTTGATTACGTTCCTTTGCACATTACAAAACAACATCATGACCTTATTCTGATAAAGAAGTTTGAAGATTTTCAGAATGTTTATTGATAAACCATTTCAGGATTAATAACTACAAATGGAAAGAACGATTCTGTTGGAGTATTTATCCTCATTCGATCTAAATTCAGTAACAACTTATTTCATACTGTCGGCAATGAATTAGTATAGTTTGTATTTAAGCTAAGACGAATTTGAAAAAAAAAATCATTAATATTTGTTTCCAGTTAATGAAAAAAATACATAGCAAGAGATTAAACAAAATACATTTAGCTTGAGCTAACCACAAATAAAATGCGCTAACCTATATCATAACCAGTTTATAATAACTTCGGTGTCTGCGTATTCTAAGCTATCCTGTCACCTTTAATGGGCGCCAGATGACTCAGCGGTGAGTTTTCAAACTTAAAACGATAAAAATTGGGTTTCGATACCTGCGGTGGGCAGTGTATGAATAGCCTACTGTGTAGCTTAATGTTTATGGAGTGGTTAAACATGTGTGTACTTTTATTGCCGTTTGTATTTTAGTACTTTTTGTTAACGATAGATGGATTCTATTTAACCAAAGCATTTTGTTAGTTTACAGCAACTTTGTATCATTTTTTTCAGTCCATGTTATGAACTCATATATAACTGTGAGTAAACTTCTCATTAGCTTTTATAGGTGATAAAGACATTTAATCTAGCAAGTCTTTACATTCATTGATGGTAAAAAAAATAGGTTCTATCATACAATAATCTTTACTTTAAATAAGACCATAAATGGTAAAAATAGGTTTTATCATACAATAATCTCTA